TGCTTGTGAGTATAGTAGATAGATAGATACTTTATTATAAACACCTTGCAGCCATAGGCTGAATTACGGAATATTTACAAATACAGATGGTAAAAAAGGAGGTATAAAATATTACAACTTCGTCGTTAAGAAAGAAGGAAAATTATCCACATCTTATAAATATGGCTAAAAATAAAACTGTTCTTCAAGCGCTCGGTTTTGCATATGGGGAGAGTGAAATCACTTTTGCGCCTCAGTGCGTATCTACAACTCTTCCTTTGGGGGAGGAGGCTTTGGAGTCTATGGGTGGGGTTACGGACTATCTCGTCAAACAGATTGGTTGAAGTTTTTTCCCTCCTCTCGTGAAGTTTTGGTAGGCCAGCTGTTTCTTGTGCTACACTATATGACAGGTCAGGATAAATGATTTTGAGTGCTCTTCTTTGGATCCGTTCCAAATCTTCGCTGATGTAGTTTGGTAGAGATCGGTGGAATACAGGACTTGCGTATTCCAAGACGGGCCTAATACATGTCACATAGAATTGCAGAAGATCACTTGGTACAACTCCGGTGCTCTTGAGTTGTCTCAAAAAGTAGAGACGAGAGGAACATTTTCTACTTAGTTCAGAGGTGTGCACGTTCGACTTTAAATCGTGGCTAATGGTTACGCCTAGCAATATTGTATGTATGGAAATATGACTTAAAAAATATAAATCAGAGGAAATTCAAGCACTTACAAAAAAAGATTGTCATATCTAGGTGAGGACATCATCATTTGTGCTATATGATGGGTACTAGGTTTTCAAAGAAAAAAAATTACCTTTATTTGCTAAACCCGGGAGTATGTAGTGCTAATCAGAGGCCTTTTTAAAGCATTTGTAAGCTATAAGTCGAGGTATTTCTAGATAATGACACTGGATTGGCTTTAGTATTTCATTTTCACTCACCAAATTCGAAATAAAAGCCTTGTCAAGAATTTGGTCTGTTTCTAGCATGAATTATGCTCAAAACTCCATTTTTCTTGGCCTTACAGGGGTATGGAGAGTTTGTCCCAAAAACCTAACAAACCCGAATAAGCCATATTTTTCTCAACTGATTTCGATAAATGAGTCACTAAAGTACATACTAGATTTGGTAGGAAAGTCCTGCAAGAAGGCAGGTGAGTGCTATGGTTTTTGAAAAATGGTAATTTTGGGTAATGATTTTGACTTCAAATTTGACCTAACTTTAGCCCCAGGCCTCTCTCTGTCACTCGAGAACAAAGTTATATTTATGAAGTAAAAGCTCCACTATATTAGAATTCTTGGTCAAATTCGTTTGGCAGCACAGTTTATCGATGGAGTTTTATAGCACTTTCAAAATGCAAACTAGAAGGATGAATTTTTGGTACTCCACAGGCCACAAATGGAACCCCTTCTGAAACTCCAGAACAAACAGTCAGAAAAGTGAGCCAAAGTGGCTTTTGAAATATCTTATCACACTCAACGTTTTTGCCAAGTTTCAGCCAAATCGGTTGACCATCACTTCTGGCCACTGGAACACTTTCTCAGACAGCGACACTTAATACAAACATTTTTTTTCTAATTAAATTCTACCCAGGTTTTTCACGAGTTCACCATAGGGTCACTTTGATCAATTTGTATGTTCTCTCTAGCGACTTTAAATGATCATTTTTGCATATTTAGACAGTATAGTGCTCTTACATATTGATCAGTTGAAACTTTATCTTTGTGGCCATGACCCACAACCAAACGTCTGCCTCGATTTACAGTAGGGACGAATTTCAAATATCGTCGTCACTTCAGTTCTTTTGAATAGTTTCATAAAACACTTTAACTTCATCAGGCTGATAGTTGTAACTTCCTAACAGTAATGATCGGGTAAAGGAGCTGCCATAATTGTGGCCAGATGGTGGACTGTAAGTCCATCCAAGGCTTGAGTAAGACCTAGGTTGGATGAGGCGTAGTTGGC